CCTAGCAGATGCGTGGAGCTCCATCTAGGCTGACAGAGCCAGGGCAGAGGGAGTCTCAGTGCAACATGGGGCAAGAGAAGGCAGTAGAGGAAGGCCATTGTCAGGACCGTAGCCTGCTGGGCAACGCCAGGGCTGTTTCAGGCTCTCCCTCTGTTCAGATGACAGGGCCTCCCTAGTTTCAGGTTGAAACGTGCTCTACTCAGGAAGCTCTCATTATTCTCCTCTTTCCTTTCTGATCTCCATGGGACTCAACAATATATCCCTAAATAATAATAGTAATATTATGTCAGGCACTGGACTTAGTATTATAGGCAAGTTATCTTACTTTAATACTCAAAGTAACTTTCAGGGGCACTGTTATCCAGTGCTACCGTGATAGAAATACCCCACTAGAGTGGCTTTTAATGATCAGAACATTTATTCTCTCCCAGGTCAGGTGTCTGTTGTTGTTGTTAGGTGTCACTGAGTTGATTCCAATTCATAGTAATGCTACACACAACAGAGTGAAACAGTGCCCAGGCTGCCCAGCCTCACAATGGTGGCTGTCATTTCAGCCATAGAAGTCTGGATTCAGATGGCAGGCTCGGGGGGAACGTTCCTGCTGTCGACCCTGAGAGAACAACTCTGTCTCTTTCAGCTTCACTTGTTTCCGCCTTTGTTGTTGTTAGGTCCCATTGAGTCAATTTACCTCATAGCTATCCTCAGTAGCCCGGTCCTGCACCATCTTCACAATCTCTTCTGGGCTGCACCACATTGTGTCAGTCCCTCTCAGGGAGGGTCCTCCTCTCCTTCACTGACCCTTCACCTTTCCAAACATGATGCCCCTTCCAAGGAATGGCCCCACCTGACAACATGCCCAAAGTGTGTGAGACCAAGTCTCATTATCAGTACTTCTAAGGAGCACTTCAGGGGCTCTGGTGGCGTAAAAGCAATCCCAAAGACATGTTGTCCCAATCCAGTATTTGCTCCATGGAAGAAAGATGCGCACTCTCCTCCTGTGCAATTTACTGCTCTTGAAAACTCACTGGAGTGTCAGCTACGGGTTGATTCCAACTCAACAGCACACAACAAAGAGCACTCTAGCTGCTCTTCTAAGACAAATTGGTTTGCTCTTTCGGCAATCTATGGTATATTCAGTACTATTCACCAGCACCACAATTTCAAAGGCATCAGTTCTGAGTATTCCTTATTCATTGTCCAATTTCCATAGTCATATGAACCATTGCAAAATACCATGGCTTGGATCAGGTACACCTTAGTCTGTAAAGTGAAACCCCTACTCTTTAGTACTTGAAAGAGGTTCTTGATAGCTTATTTGCCCAGTTCAACATATTGTTTGAATTGTTCACTGCCACTTCATTGAGTGTTGAATGAAACTCTTGGCAATTTCCTTCTCTTCTCCGTTGATCATGATGCTGCCTATTGATCCAGTTGTGAGGATATTTGTTTTCTTTGCCCTGAGATACAACCTTTGAGGTTGTATCTTCTTCAGCAAATACTTCAAGTCTGTTACGCTTTCTATAAGCAAGACTGTCATCTGCATAACGCAAGTTGTTGATGAGTCTTCTTCCAATCCTGACTCCAAAAGCTTAATATAGTCCAGTTTCTCAGATTATTTACTTAGCATACAAATTGAATTTATAGGGTGAAAGGATGCAATCTTTTTTTTTTATTTTAAATGCCCTTGGTCAGTTCAAACAGCTGCTTTTTTTTCATGTACAGGTAATATACAGCTATGCTGTAACTCTCACATTACTAAATTCCTTCCTAATCACCCCCCATTTTTGCCTGCTTGTGCTTCTGTCTTTAGGTACATCGAGTTAACTACAACTCATAGTGATCCTAAGAATAACAGATCTGAACTTTGCCCTACCCTGTGCCATCCTCATCCTCTCTGATACTCTGGAGCCCACTGTACAGTCATTGTGTTGACCATATTTTTCAGGGACTTTCTAGCCCCCTTCCTAACAAAGTGCCCAAAGTATATGAAACAAATTTTCACCGTTCTTGCCTCTAAGGAGCACCCTGGCTGCACTTTCTCTAAGAAATACCTATATGTTCTCCTGGGAGTCATGGGATATTCAGTGCTCTTCTCCAATACCACAACCCAAAGGCATTGATTCTTCTTCTGTCATCTTTATTCTTGTCCAACTTTCAGATGCAGAGCTAGTAGTTGAAAATGCCAAGAATTGGATCAGGCACACCTTAATCTTTATAGTGGCATCCTTGCTCTTTGGAACTTTGGAGAGATTCTTGACAGCAAATTTCTACCACTGCAACATGTCTTTTAATTTTTTGTGTGTTGCTGCTATCAAGGATGTTGATTGTGGATTTAAGCAAAATTAAATAATTGACAACTTCAATCTTAACTTCATCAATCTTGATGTTACCTTATTGGCCCACTGGTGAAGATTTTTGTTTTCTTCATTTTGAGATGTGATCTATATTGAAAACTGTAGTCTTTGATATTCTGCAGCAAGCATTTCAAGTCCTCACTTTCAGCAAGCAAAATTGTCATCTCCATAACACAGGTTATTGATGAGTCTTCCTTCAAGCCTGATACCACATTCTTCTTCATAAAGTCCAGCTTCTCGAATTATTTGCTCAGTATACAGATTGAATAGGTATAGAGAAAAGATACAACGCTTACACACTCTTATCTTGATTTGAAACGGGCAGGATTCCCTTGTTTTCACACAACAACCTCTTGGTCTCTTTAAATTATTCAGAAATGATTCTGTGTAGTACACAACCTACACTGATTATGGCCTCATAATGTAACCAAGAATGCCTTCATCCTAAATAGGATTGTATCCACAGTAATAGGTTTAGGATTTTAATACTTGTTTTGGGGTGGGCAGGGGGCACAATTCCATCTCTAACATCCATAAACTAGAGTGCATAGTCAGCACCCAAAGTGTTCTGAAGTGTTCAATTCCCGGGAACAGGTGAAGGCAGCCACAGAGGGCACAGGGACTCCCAAGCAGCTGAGAGGAACCAGCTGCCAGCTGGACGCAGCAGACAAGCTGGTCCTCAGCCAGATTCTCCAAGCTTAGCAGCCTGGGGGTGTCAACACAGGCTAAGCTGCCTTCAGACCTCAGCTTTGCCCCTTCCTAGCTGTGTCTTTAAATGAATTCATTTCCATGAATTTCTGATTACTCCTTCTACCTCGCAGCATTGTCATGAGGGGGGGAGGAAGTAAATCATGTGACTCTGGCACAAAGTGTGCTGAGTCCCTGCGGACTCCAGGGGCTGTACTCTGACCGGGATGTTGATCTTATGCAGCCTCTTATGTGGGTACTCCTGTGACCTCTTCTAAGCAATAGGAGGAGATAAAGCTTGAAGAACTACCTCTTTCAGCTGTGAGCTTGAGCTTTTGCAGCAGCTGAGAGTTGTCAGCTCAAGGACTGTAGCTGGATAGCTGGGTGCTTCTTGGACTGTAGCAATAGACAGGGAGCAAGAGCTAAGGAGCCCGCTGTAAGTTGACAAGTGAACTGATCCCTGGACTGGATCTTGCAATCAGCAGTCTCCAGGGGGCAACTGTGGCAGTAGGTCGGGGAAGGTGCCCTTTGTATCGGATCAGATCACATAGATCTCTGCAGAGTGGGGAAAGGACCAAGAGAAGGGTTTAGAGACTGACTTGCCTTGTGGTTTCAGTTCTGCCATTTAACTTTGTGTCTTTGCACAAGTTACACGTCGCTCTGGGTCTCAGCTTCTTTTTCCGTAGATTGGAGCTCATAACCCAAATCCATAAACCTTACAAATCTGTTGTGAGAAATAACTCAAAATGTGTAAGCAAAGGCTTGCGACTATGTTAAGCAGCTTTTTTTTTTTATGTTAAGCAGCTTTTGATTGTAAAGTTCATCTCAGATCCAACACAGTTGGGAACATACTGTGCACAGAGTATTCATTCAGAGCATCTACTCTGTGCCAGGCACTGTTCTACCAGTTAATACTGAGTGCATTCTCTCCATTCTCACTCTTGGTGACCTCGTAAGTGTCAGAGTACAACTGTGTTCCATAGGGTTTTAATGGCTCATTTTTCCTAGAAATAGATTGCCAGGTCTTTATTCTGAGGCACAAAAACCAACCACTAAACAAACCAACAAAAAGGAAATGCAAAGTAATAGTAAGTCTATGGACACAATAAAAATGGGTAAGGGGAGGCAGTGTATAACCATATGGTTCTCTCCCTGTTTGTCCAATAGGTGAATCTCAGGAATGGTAAAAACATCAAGTCAAGCTCCTTGTACTGAGTTGGTTCTGACTTATAGTGACTTCTGTAGGACACAGCAGAAGTGCCCCACAGGGTATCCTAAATTGTAAATATTTACAGGAGCAGAGCACCACGTCGTTGACTCACAGAACAGTTGCTGGGTTCAAACCAGGAACCCTGTGGTTAGCAGCCCAACACTTAACCCACTGTTGGGGCCCAACAATGTCTCCCAGAGGAGAGACACTGACTCACTCATTGACACTGAGTAGGAACCAATTCACAGCAGACTGGCCGATTTTGAAAGGCTTTAAATCACACAGAAGGGGCTTGCTCATTTTCCCTCACAGAACTGCTGGTGGATTTGAACTGCCAGAAAAGCATAGCCTGGGAGTTAGCAGCCAACTCCCTTCGGCCTCCACCACCATACTCCCTTCAGGGGAGAGACAACAGCAGTAACAACCTACTGCAGTCACGTTAAAGTCAACTCACAGCCGACCTTTCAGCAGATTTTCAGAGGCTTAAAATTGCATGAGGGGAGATTGCTCATCTTTTTTTCTTGGAGCAGCTGTCAGATTCAAACATCTGCCTTTGGGTTGCCAGCACATCTTACAACTGAGGAGAGAAGAGCGTATAAATCAGTAGAGGCCAAAGGCAGAGCTTGATAGGAAGCCCAGGACCTGCCTCCTCACTGTTCCTCTCACCCTTTGACCAGTTTTGACTGTGTGTCCCTCACAGAGACACCCTTAGGACCCCTAATGTAATGGTGCCTGTGTTTGCTTTCCAGGAGAGCAGCCCCTTCTGCTGAATTTTCCGTGGACAGGACGCGCCATTTGATGTCCTTCCTGACAATGATGGGCCCCAGTCCCGACTGGAATGTGGGCTTGTCGGCAGAGGATCTGTGCACCAAGGAATGTGGCTGGGTCCAGAAGGTTGTGCAAGACCTGATTCCCTGGGATGCTGGCACTGACAGCGGGGTGACCTACGAGGTGGGTGTGTGTGAAGGGTACTGCTTCACAAGCCCTGATCTGGGCTCCATGCATACTCCTCACTTCCAGTGATCAAGCCCCTGGAGAGGTATCCAAAGCCATCTTCTTGAAGAATTCCGTATTAATAGATGGTAAATGTCTAAATGGCAGGAGAGGGGATTGTTTTAACATAGTAAAATCAGTCAGTTACTCATAATGTTAAAGAAAAATGAAGTTAGAATCGAAGAATAAGTTGGTTTCCAATTGGCTATTGGTGTTTCTCTTGGGGGGGCGGGGGAAAGGAAGCTTCTTTTTCCTAAAAAGCAAGGGAAAAATAATAGTGACGATGAAAAGCATCTACTCGTAGATAGTATGATTCAGCCTCAGAGAACTGTCCACAGAGACACCAAGGAAAGGGTAGAAAGATAAGAATAAGTTGGTTTCCAATTGGCTATTGGTGTTTCTCTTGGGGGGGCGGGGGAAAGGAAGCTTCTTTTTCCTAAAAAGCAAGGGAAAAATAATAGTGACGATGAAAAGCATCTACTCGTAGATAGTATGATTCAGCCTCAGAGAACTGTCCACAGAGACACCAAGGAAAGGGTAGAAAGATAATCTGCTAAACAATAACTCACAAGATAGAAGCATGTGGCAGTCACAGAGGCAAAAAAAAGGATAAATAGAATGCAAAAACCACAAAGGAGCCTGGAAACAGCAGGGCATTGATGTAAGACTGACCAGTTCCAAAGGCCCGGACAGCCAGCCTGAGGAATTTGTATTTTCATTGTGAATGTCAATATTCCTCAAAAATGGTCAACACTCCAACTGTATCAAAATCTGTAGCCTTTAGGAAAAAAACACACACACACACAACAAAAAACAAACAAAACAGAGCGAACAATCAAATACCACCTGCCACTCACCACCACTGAGTTGAATTCTGACGCTTAACAGCCCTAGAGCAGCCGCGTAGAGTTCCCCAGCTGTCAGTCCCTAGGGAGGCAGATGGCCTCTTCTTTCTCCGGTGGAACACCTGGTGGTTTTGAACTGCTGACTTTCAGCAGTTCACATGCCTTAACCAAATGCCACCAGAGCTCCTTCAATCAGGGGTCAGCCAACTGAAGTCTAGGGTCAAATCTGGCCTGACAACTGTCTTTGTAAATAAAAATTCGAAACCCAGACATACTCATTTGGTAGCATATGGTCTCTGACCATGTCTGCTCTGCAACAGCTGAGTAGCTGCAGCAGGCATCGTGTGGTCCATAAAGCTAAGATACTTATTATCTGGTCTTTCACAGAAAAATTTTGCTTTTATCTGGCTCTAGTATTTACTTGCTGGGATGACTTCTCATCTGGCTACAATCCTACCTTATACGTGGAAGAATTTGAAATTATAAATGTAAACATTTCTAAGCCCCGTACATGGCATGAATAAAAGCCCAAACCCACTACTGGCAAGTTAACTCCAACTCATGGTAACCTGTTGCTGTTGTTGTTGCGTACCATTGAGTCAGAACTGACCCATAGCTGACCCTCCAGTGGGTTTTCAGAGGCAGTTTATTGCATGGGAGGAGATTGCCCATCCTTCTCCCGTGAAGCAGCTGGTATACTCAAACCATGTGTCTTCGGGATTGCAGCACAACTTCTTGCTACTAGGCCACTAGCACTCCTTGGTAACTCTGTAAGACTCAGAGTAGAACTACTGCATAGTCTTTAGGGAAGCAGACTGCTACATCTTTCTCCCACAGAGAAGCTGGTGGGTTGGAACCCTGACCTTTCAGTTAGAAGCCAAGAGCTTTAGCCACTGCACCACGAGGGCTCCCTTGGATGAATCTCCCTTTCATTGCAGAGGATTCAGAACTGACTCATAGATGATCCTCTAGAGGAGTATTGAGAAGCTGTAAATTGCAGAGGAGATTGCCCATCTTTCTCCTATAAATATAAATAGTAGTTACAGTTACTTATTAATTCTTATCAAGGTTTTTGCTCTGATCGTATAATGATCATATTGTTTTGTGGTTTTTACTGCTTTTAGTACCACTCTCTGTATCAGTGTTTTCTTTCTCATTTCAGTCTCCCAACAAACCCACAATCCCTCAGGAGAAAATCCGACCCCTGACCAGTCTGGACCACCCCCAGAGTCCTTTCTACGACCCAGAGGGTGGATCTATCACTCAAGTAGCCAGAGTTGTCATCGAGAGAATTGCTCGGAAGGTATCGAGTTAGAGCTCACCCTGGAAGACACTCTTCCCTCCATGCGTACAAGGAGACAACACATCCTTCTGTTCCAAAATCATGAGACATCACCCCACCCTGGCAGAAATCACCCAGAATACGGAATTATTGGGCTTCCCTGAATTTCTAGTTTATACATTATTTCATTAGATGCACATGAGTAAATGGGGCTCAGTGCTCAAATGGATGATTTGATTCTCTGTTGATAGTTCCATAATCAGTTACTAATGTCTGTCATGATATTGGCAAGCATGATTCCATAATCAATTACTAATGTCTACCATGGTAAATAACAGGAATTGAGTGGTATGAGTCATATATTTACCACCCTGCATTAGCTGCTACTGCTTTCTTGGCACTTATTTTTCAATCAGATAGCAGATGTTGCCCCAGAACTCTGCCATGACCTAGAATTTATGTACACTGTGGTCATCAGGCTATATTTCCTTTCTCATCTTTCCCCTTGACACATTCCATTCTTTCTCTAATGTGAATGCTCCAAATAAAATTCTTCTTGCAGGGAGAACAATGCAATATTGTACCCGACAATATTGATGATATTGTAGCTGACCTGGCTCCAGAAGAAAAAGATGAAGGTATGGTGTTTTCCTTTGTTGCTGATGGCACAATAAATTTGCACAACTCTCTGCTGTCGTACTTTAAGAACCATAGAAATAATCCTATGACTCAATAATGATACTCAGGTAATCCCATCTGAGGAGTTCTCCTCTAGAAATAATTCAAATTAAGGCTAAGACTAGACTCTATCAGAGAATTGGTGACAGAGATAGTGTGATAGTATCAGACCTCCAAAAGGATTCAAATGTAAAAGGCATTTTGAATAAAAGAAAAAATTAAAAAGCAAGCAAACAAACAAAAAGGCATTTTGAATAAGCTTCACAGTTATCAGAACCCCCTCTGCTTTGATTGTCACGCTGGCCTATGAATCAGATGTGGGTACGTGCATTTCCCCAGCAAGGAAGGTGGCAGCTTCCTTCCCAGAGCTGACAGGAGTCCAGGCAGAGACACGGCCTTAAGTTTTCTCATGGAATCTAGAGCCAGAGACTCTGGATTCTCATTAACTCTATGACCTTGGGCAAGAATTACACCTTGATTTCCTCAGCTATAAAATGGGGATAGTAACAGAACTCACTTTATAGAGAGTTGTCAGTTGGGTTAAAATATGCAACGTTCCTCGGACGATGTAATACATGCTCACTGATCATCAGTGCCCTTATCTTTATCATGATGTCTGTGCATGGGATCAGTGGGAAGATGAAGCGGCAACACACACAGAAATCCTGGGTGACACAAAATGACCTATGATGAGCCTGCACCCGCGTAGAAGTGATGCCTGTCAGGCTGAAGGTCCAGAAATTAAAAGATGAAGGGACAGTGAGGAAATCTTTCATATTATTTGGATACTGATTAGTGAAATGCTAAAATATGATTTTGGAAGGGCTGTGGACAGCTGCTTCCGACCCAGGCTCACTGAGACAGCCTGCTGCAGGGCTCTGTTTCTTGTCCTCATATGAGCCTGTCTGGGGGAAAGGGCCAATCCCAGCTTCCAGAAGTCCCCAGGGAAAACACAACGAACACTCTTTCCAGATGACACCCCCGAAACGTGCATCTACTCCAACTGGTCCCCGTGGTCCGCCTGCAGCTCCTCCACCTGCGACAAGGGCAAGAGGATGCGGCAGCGCATGCTGAAGGCACAGCTGGACCTCAGTGTCCCCTGCCCTGACACCCAGGACTTCCAGCCCTGCATGGGCCCCGGCTGCAGCGACGAAGGTGAGAGAGCCAAGGCCAGGAAGTGGCTAGTGGAGGCCCAGGGAGGGAGGCTTCTGCCTGCCAATGCAGGCCCCTTACAGCATCTGGGGTGAGGGCCCAAGGACTCCGATTACAATTGTCAGGGGGGTCCACCGAGGGGAGGGGTCCCACCTCCAGTGGTGTCTTAAGGGCTCTGAACTCAGAACATTTCTTAATGACCTTGAGGTTGATTCATCACCCCGACCCAACCATGGAATAAAATGTATACAGAGCACTGAAGAGCAAGCAAACAGGTATGTTGATTACAAATTCTTTGTAAACACTGTGCACCTGGCCTTCAATTCCACTCTCTTCTTAGGGATCAGGCGAACATGTTGAACCATGAGAATCCATGGCTCTAATTCCATAAAACATAAAAGTTAGGTTTACACTATCCTATGGTCTATTAAGCATGCACTGGGCTCCAGTGGCCTAATGAGTCAGGAATTATGCTGCCAACCCAGAGACACACAATGTAAATCTTCCAACTGCTCTGCAGGAAAAAAGATGAGCAATCTCCTCCTGTGTGATTTACAGCCTTTGAAAACCCACTGGAGGGTCAACTCTGAGTCAGTTCCAACTCAGCAGTATATAACAACAACAGAAGAGTGCAGCAGCATTATGTAACAAATTGGAATGTTGCAAGAATGACCAAAACATGATATAGCTACATGAAGGGAGCACACACTGTTGAAGGAGATGACACAAATAGATTTGCTCGACCCAGGGTTGCCACTGTCTTCGATTTGTATAAGACACAGTATATGTGAAGTGCAATAAAACTAAGAGCAACAGAATGAGGCATGCCTGTCCTCTCTTCTCTGATTCTATTCATCTCTGAGGTGCAGTGGGCAGTGCAAAAATATGGAGGGATGAGGCTGGTTTATGGCAAGATGGAAAATGCACCCTTTTAAAAAAAGGAATTGTTTCTTCTGTCATCCTTATTTATTGTTAAACTTTCAGGTGCATAGGAAGCAATTAAAAATGCCATCACTTAGATTGAGTGCACCTTAGTCTTTAAACTTCCATCTTATCTTTTTAGCACTTTGGAGAGGTCCTTGACAACACAATTCCCTATGGAAACACATATTTGGACTTTTTGACTGATGCTCCTATTAATTGTAGATCCCAGTAAAATTAAATAATTGACAGCTTCACTCTTTCTCCATCTATCAGGATATTTCCTGTTGGTTCAGTGCTAAGGATTTTTGTTTTCTTCATGTTGAGATGTAACTCATTAAATGCTGCAGTCTTGGATCTTCTACAGTATTTCAAGTAGTCTTCACTTTCTGCAAGTTAGGTTGTGTCATCTACATAACACAGGTTATTGAGGAGTCTTTCCCCAGTACCAACGTCACATTCATCTTCATATAGTCCAGCTTCATGAATGGTCTGAGTAAGTATAGAAAAAGGATACAACCCTGACACACTCTTTTCCTGATTTTAGGTCATGCAGTGTTCCCTTGTTGTATCTTAGCCTGTGTATGAATTTCACATAAGCACAATTAAGTGTTCTGAGATTCCCATTCTTCTCAGTGTTGGCCATAATTTGTTATGATCCACACAGTCAAATGCCTTTGCATAAGCAATAAAACACAAGTAAACATCTTTCTGGTAGTCCCTGCTTTCAGCCAAAATCCACCTGGCATCAGCAGTGATATCCCTTATGCCATGGCCTCTTCCAAACCCAGCTTGTATTTCTGCCAGTATTAAAATGAGATGTGAAATATCATGAAAGTTACCACTAGAGGGATCTTTTGCAAGGAAAGAACTGAGTGTGTCACTCCAGCAGAAGTGTGGCTTCTTGTTATGTCCCTTAGAGGTAAGGATTCTGATGTTCCATGTCACATACTGGGGCATGTGGCCAGGAGGGACCAGTCCTTCGAGAAGGACATCATGCTGGGAAGAGTGGAGGGACAGCACAGTAAAGGAAGACCCCAGATGAAATGGTTTGACACAGTAACTCGGGTAATGGGGGCAGGTGTGTCAGTCAGTGAGATTGTCTCAGGGTAGTGCAGAGTTCAGGGCTATTGTGCATAAGGTCACAAAGAGTGGCAAGCAAATCGACAGCCCAAAATATGTGAGACAGAGCTTCAGAATCACATCTCCAAGGAGCAACTTGGTTTCATCCTCTCCAGGACAGACCTGTTTGTTCTCCTGGCATTCTATAGTCTGTTCTGTACCCTTCTCCAGCACCACAACTCAAAGGCATTGATTTTTCTTGTATCTTCCTTTGTCATTGCCCAGCTCTCTGATGCATAGCAAGTAGTTGTGAAGACTATGGCCTGAGTCAGAAGCACCTTAGTCTCTATAAACATTATAGTCTCTATAATCAGTTCTTTCCTGTACTCTGGGGTCACTATAAATTAGAAATCAACTTGATGATGATTGGTTTAGCCACTAATTGTTGAGGAAATTAATATAATGAGGAACAAAATTATATACAAAGTTAAATCATTAATAGATTATATTTTATACCAAATATCATACAAGCTGCTCTGCAGGAAAATGATGGGCCATCTCCTCCCTGTGTGATTTGCTGCTTCTGAAAACCTGCCTGAGGGTCACCTATGGGTCGGTTCCAACCTGCTTGCACACAACAACATACTGGCTATACAAATATACACAAATATATATGTGGGGTTTTTCTTCTTTAAAAAACACCCATCCAAGCAACTTTCAAGTATATTTTCATTTAGTTTTTTTTAGGGGATGAGTAATCCTGAATGCCCCATGCATCAAAAAAGGGGTGTTTCCTCTTAGAGAGCAATTACTGGTTGCAGGAGTACTTCTCCCTTTTGTCCCCGACTGCTTGACTCGCTCCTTTCGGAGTTGTCACGTGCGCTTGGAGGCTCCCCTGGCGCGGTTCCTGGCTGTCCCCGCCCGAGCTACAGCTCTCGCCCTGCCCTCCCTGCCCCTCCGCAGACGGCTCCACCTGTACCATGTCCGAGTGGATCACCTGGTCGCCCTGCAGCATCTCCTGCGGCACCGGCATGCGGTCCCGGGAGAGGTACGTGAAGCAGTTCCCGGAGGACGGCTCTGTGTGCACGCTGCCCACCGAGGAGACAGAGAAGTGCACGGTCAACGAGGAGTGCTGTGAGTGCTGAGGGGACCCCCGAGTGGGTGAGGTGGGCGCGCCAGGCTCCCCAAGCTGGGGATGCAACTCCAACTCTGCTGGGCCCCCAGCTCCCAGCAGCTGCCTGATGACCGAGTGGGGCGAGTGGGACGAGTGCAGCGCCACCTGCGGGATGGGCATGAAGAAGCGGCATCGCATGGTCAAGATGAGCCCAGCAGACGGCTCCATGTGCAAGGCCGAGACGTCCCAAGCTGAGAAGTGCATGATGCCAGAGTGCCGTGAGTGGGCGTGGGGGTGGCCGCGGGCAGGGAATCAGGTAGGTGGCACGTGTGTGGGGGGGAACGGGTTGGAGGAGCACAGCACCCCCCTTCCAAGTACACAGGTGCAGCATGTGGTGGGCACCTGAGCAGCTGCAGGAGGACCATCCCTGCCTGTCCTGCTAGGAGCAGGATGAGGCCGTAGTGAGGCCAGAGAGACTAGCCTCCTTTCGGGGACTATCTGAGCTGATGTGCTGACTGGTGGCCTCTGAGTAGAATTTACCTGCAGATGGATTTTAGGGGGCACATGAACATAGGACAGAAACTCCTCCGGTCCTCATAGGGCTCAAATCTTGTTCCATGCTGGACTTGCCTGGCTCCATCACAAATGGATGGTTTAGTGGTAAGAAGCTGTGCTGCAATCTCAAAGGCATGCATGCGGATTGAATCCATGCACTGCCCGCGGGAGAGAGATGGGCAATCTCCGCCTGTGAAATTAAAGACTCTGAAAACTCATAAGAGGGCCAGCTATGAGTTGGTTCTGACATGACAGCACACAACTATGACAAATGCCCTGGTGGCTTCGTGGTAAGGAATTGTGCTGCCAACCCAAAGGTATGTGGTTCAAATCCACCAGCTGCTCTACAAGAGCAAGATGGGCAGTCTCCTCCCATGCAATTTACTGCCTCTAAAAACCCACTAGAAAGTCAGCTGTGACTCAGTTCCAACTCAACATTACTCAACAACAACTATGAAAATGCAGATAGACCCACACACTAGTACACAATGCACCAATGCGCGCACACACACACACACACACACACACACACACATATTCTGGGAATTTCAGTACCACACTGTTCCAAATAAGACAATGCTGAGCTTATGTCAGTGCCTGAATCTTGGGGAGAGTAGACTGTTCCTACCATGAGCCTCTGTGGTGCTGCACGTGAGAGCCTGTGTACACATATTCCTAAGCCACATGTGATGTCAGCACACCAGCGGGCCAGGAGGATGTGTGGCTGTGACGGGAAGGGCAGGACACAGCTAAGCCCTGCTTACTCCTTGGTGCTCATTCTTACTTGGACCCGAAGACCAGTTCCACGTTGCTCCAGGGGCTGTAGCTAGGAAGAGGCGGTGGAGGGGACAGCAGGGCCAAGGAGATTCAAGAAGGCACAGGGAACCTGTTCTCAGTAACACACTTGACTCTTGGCCTAGACACCATCCCATGCTTGCTGTCCCCATGGTCTGAGTGGAGCGACTGCAGTGTGACCTGTGGGAAGGGCATGCGGACCCGCCAGCGGATGCTCAAGTCTCTGGCTGAACTCGGAGACTGTAATGAGGAGATGGAGCAGGTGGAAAAGTGCATGCTGCCTGAATGCCGTAAGTCTCAGCGACCCCGGTGCCCACCACTCCCCTCCCACCTGTCCTGAGCCCAGGGCCAGAGGGCCTTCAAGGGTCTCCGAACCAGCCCTGTGCTGTGGTCAGACTGCGAAATGTACAGTTCAACTGTTCACATGGGGAAAAGAGCGTGGGATTTGGGTCTCTATTAGCAAGTTATGTGAACCTTTAATCTTATTTAAGTAGGAAGCCCGCAAGGCTGCAAGTTCCATGACATATAAAGAGAGACAATAAAAAACACTTCACAAAAGGCTCAATCTGGGGAGCTCTGGTGGCCTAGTGGCAAGGAGCTGCAACTACAATCCCAGAGGCGCACTGTTCAAATCCACCAGATGCTCTGCCGGGGAAGGAGGGGCAATCTCCTCCTGTACCTGTCAGATATGATTTGACGGTACACGCACACAAAAATAATAAAATTTTTAAAAAAAGGCTCAATCTTTAGTTTCTTCCCTTCCTCCAAGTAGGAACTTCCCTGGTGCATGGATGCTATAAACTGTTCAATTCTATTCCTGCCCCCTTGTGACCATTTTAGGGAGCTCTGGTGGCCTGGTCCATATGGAGTTGGGGCTGCTAACTCAATGACCAAACTTCTGTAGTGGTTCAACTCGACCAGCAGCTCCTCAGGAGGAAGGTGGACAATTCCCATTCATTTCCAGCTTTGGACACTCCCTGGAGGGTCAGCTCTGAGTCCATTCCAACTCTACAGCAATGAATAGTTTTATTTACCCGTGGTCAGAAGCTGGCCACATTGGATCAATGGCTCCCAGCCTCATGCAGCCTGGCTAAGACCAAAAGGAAAACCAGCCCACGCTCTCAGAAGTTCCCTTGTCCACCCCGCCTCTCCCAAATCTTACAGTAGCCCCCTGTGTATATTACATGGGGCTAATTTCCAAGGAAACAGAGCCAATTTTCCTAAGTAGTCTTCTAAGAAAGCTTAGCTTCTAAGTGGTGGAAAATCAGATGGGCTTCCTGTGAAATACCCTCACAGTCTTTCATGCTCCCTCTCTCTGGTGGTTCAAGTCCACCAGCAGCTTCATGGGAGAAAGTTGGCCGAGGTTTACAGCCTTGGAAATCCCATGGAAGGTCAGCTGTGAGTCAATTAAAACTCAATGGGATTGAGTTTCAGTTTTGTTTTGAATCTCGTTAGTACCCAGGCTTCCTGCCTAATTCAGATCCCTCCTGTGTCTTTTACTGGCTGTGTTAATTGTCAGCAGATTGCTAATTGTGCTGGTTCCTCAATTTTCTCAACTGTGAACAGCCAGAAGCACTTCCTAGGTTATTCTGAGAACTAAACAGAATAATTGGTATAAAGGCCCAGGTGTTGGACCCGGCTAGTACAGGTCTCGGTTGCTATGCCGTATTACTGTGCCAGAGCTGTTTCAGCCGGACTCACTCACAGGTGGAGGTAACCGAGACCATCAACTCGATAAAGCCTGGAACTTTAGAGAAGATTGGCCCACAGTGTAATCAAGTCGCCCATGTGAGGCCCCAGAGCCTCTGAGACCTTGTTCTCAGTATCAACTAAACTCTGAATCCATCTGGTCCACTGAAAAAGGCAGGGAGGAGAAAGTGAGCATTTGTAGAGCTCTTGCTGTGGGCCAGGATGTGGGCCGGGAGTGACAGCTCATTTTGTCTTTACAACTGAGGGACTATTATCTCCACTTCACAGATAAGAAGGCTGCCTGAGCTCTCACAGGGAGAAGTGTAAAACTATATTAAATAAAGCGGGATTTTTCTGTGTCCCGCCTTGCCCTCCTTTTGCATAGCCAGTGCGGGATTTGGCATTATTTGTCTCATTGGGACACATTTGAGAGGCAGACCAATGTTATCATCTCCAGTTCCTATTTGTGAGATGTAGAATCTTGGGGCCGGGATAAACCGTCAAACGCCACTTGCCCCCACACCTTTTCTGTACTGAGTTCTCTATTTCTGACTCGTGTGTTTCACAGAGGAAAAACCCCAAACCCACTTTCATTGCATTGACTCCAACACCTGAGGCTGTGAATGCTTACAGGAGGAGACGACCTTATCTCTGTCCCATGGAGCAGCTGGCAGATTCATACCTGAACCTTTTCCGTTAACAGCTCAGCTCACCAGGGCTTTGTATTCCGCAGGGTGCCATGTATCTAGGAAGGTGCTCTGGCAGCCTAGTGGGTAAGGAGTTGCCCTGCCAACCCAAAGGCAGGCAGTTGACTATGCCAGCTGCTCCACTGGAGAAAGGTGGACAGTCTTCTCCTACGCAGTTCACAGCCTCTGACAACCCGCTAGAGAGTCAGCTGTGAGTCGGTACGAAGTCAGCAGCACACAACAACAAACATGTACACAAGACACAAAATTATTTTGAGAACAAGAAGGGGGAGAAAAGACCTGCCTGGTTCTTACTGCAGACGCCGCAGTCATTGGCATTGCCCATGGGGTCAGACTCTTCTCAACGTATTCTCACCTAAGAAGCCAGACAGCCAGCTGGGGCAGTCATTGGTATTGTCCATGGGGTCAGACTCTTCTCAACGTATTCTCACCTAAGAAGCCAGGCAGCCAGCTGGGGGCTTGTGGACAGTGCTCAAAAATGTCCCGGTGAGCTGTTCCTTCCCTAAGAAAATCTACATCCTTGGGGCTGTGGAAGGCCATATGTGCCACTATTTTCGGCTGATTTGGCAATATTCTAGCTCACAGAGGCCCTAAATAGATCTACGAGGTTTCCCAAAGCCTGCTTGAGTCACTGGGGGGAGGTAGAATGTGAATTACATATAAACAAGGAGCCTGCCTCTACTGCTTTCCAAGCAAGTGGACTGAATAAGGCAGGAGCCTCAGTTTCTCGGCCTGTAAAATGGGTAACAGCACCAGCGTTTTGTTCCTCATCAGCTTGTTGAGAGTGTATGTGACCGTGTCTTGTGTTCAACACGAGCTATACTCATGCCCGTCTGTGTCTTGCCAGCCATTGACTGTGAGCTCAGCGAGTGGTCCCAGTGGTCAGAGTGTAACAAATCGTGCGGGAAAGGCCACATGATCCGAACACGCATGATCCAGATGGAGCCGCAGTTCGGAGGCGCCCCGTGCCCAGAGACCGTGCAGCGCAAGAAGTGCCGGGTGCGTAAGTGCCTTCGGAACCCATCGGTCCAGAAGCTGCGCTGGAGGGAGGCCCGGGAGAGCCGGAGGAGCGAGCAGCTGAGGGAAGACGCCGATGGGGAGCAGTTTCCAGGTAGGACTCCCACGGCAGGCCTGTCGGAGAGGAGGGAAGGGAGAGCTGCATTTTCTGGATTCTTCCGCCTACAGTCTGATTGTTCAGATGCTGTGAAATTGTGATATACTGTGTTGAGGGGTCTGCTCTCCCAATAGGTACAAAGTATTAATGTTAGCCCCAGTTTGGAGGTCTGGATCCACTCAAGGGTGCCTGGGGATGTACTTGCCAAATTCAGCCACTGGCAATGTACTTGCCAAATTCAGCCACTGGCTGTCCTTCCGGTCACAGTTCAGTTCTGACATAAGTAAGGTCGCAGTGAGTGAGCCAGGAGCAACAGTGTCTACTGGTTTGGGTTTCCTTCTTCGTTTAGTGTTTGTTGTGTTCATCAACAAGCTGTGTGGTCAGCTATGCACCAATCATTATGCCATGGGCCCTGCCTCTGTGAAGTGTGCACTGTGGTGTGATAAACAGAATGAATGGGTAATCATCCATGAGCCGGTCCTACAAAGGAGTTCCGGTGGCCAGTCTGAAGGGAGCTTCAGAAAGCCAAAGGAGGGTCAGCCAGGAGTCAGTTCCGACTTGGTGGCAATGAGAAAGATACAGAAGCACTCCAACCAAAGATCTAACCTAATCTCTGGTGGGGGGTGGGGGTGGGGAGGTCTAGGAAATGTCCTTTTAGAAATGGATGTTTACGCCGCACAGGGAAAGTAAGACAGGGTGCTTAAATGCCAGTACTATTTGGGATGCTGAGTACTTGGGGAACAAGTCTCAAGAGAAAGTCAGTCATTAAATGACTTAGTAAGTGCTGCATAATAAGCCAGCGCCAAAGTGAGGCTTTTAAAGATAATTCTTTATTAGTTTAGGATCCTGTACCTCTGTGATACTGGATTGGATTCTCCTGCAGACCAGAACAGGCTGGTTCATGAGTCTGCTGTCAGCTGGTGGCTCAGCAGGAGCTGGGAAACCTAAGCCAGCCTCAGCTGCATGTTAGGGGCCTCTGCTGAGATAGCTGGGACGTCTGGCCAGTGTCTTTAGCAAGTTAGACCAGGCTGGCTACCGCAGTGGTTATAGGTTCCCAGCAGCAAAGCAAGAGAAGCCACGATACACAAATATTTTTCAGGCCATGTTTGCAAATGTCCTATTGGTCAAAGCAGATCTTAGAAATAGACTGTCTTTTGAAAAAGGTGCTTCAAAGTATTTATGGCTTTAAAAAAAAAAATCTATTGTATTCCCTAATAAGGACTCTAGCCTCTAGTTTATTCAGCAAATGATACAGGAGTCACAGAAGACCAGACAACTAAATTTGACTATTGTCCAAGTCCTAATTAGCTGTCAGTGAGGGTTCAGCTTTCCTGTTCTGTTCCCAGTTTCTGCAAGACTCACCAAGACTCTTTTTGCTTCCAGGCTGCAGGATGCGCCCATGGACAGCCTGGTCAGAATGCACCAAACTGTGCGGAGGCGGGATCCAAGAACGTTACATGACGGTCAAGAAGAGGTTCAAAAGCTCCCAGTTCACAAGCTGCAAAGACAAGAAGGAGATCAGAGCGTGCAACGTCCACCCTTGTTAGCCAGGGCACAGCTCTCCAGGGATGCACTCTGGATTCCAGAGTCACCAATGGCTGGATTGTGTTTGCTTGTTTGTTTAAGGAAATTTAAATTGTGTACAGTAGTTTTCATTTCTGCAGTATGGTTCACCCAATAGTCTTGCAGATGCAAAGGGCACCCTTTCTGAATACTCCTTGGTGGGTGCAGGGTGCGTGGGGCTCCCTCATCCTCAGCTGGCCCACTTCCTGCACAGAAGTGAGTAGTGTCAGCCACCTTGTACTAAACTGCAATGGGTCTTTCTGGAACATTCACCTGGGCATACAGACAGGCGCTGGCCACTTACACATGGACAGGCAATGAGTCTAGGAGTGATTTTGTGCCTGGATCCTGGAATACAGCAGATGAAATGTCCCACATCAGCTGTCCAACTCATTCTCTCCACTTTTCCAGGAAATGTTTGTTTGCCCACCTCTTTTCCTTTGGGAAAAGGGGCTCATGTCCCTCGTGAAGTCTAATCAGTCATCACTGGTTCTTGATTAAAATGGAGCTGGTAGACGTGAAGAGGAGGATAGATGTTAGGTGGCTTTTCTTCCCTTGAAGAAAAATTCTAAATACTTTTCTCTCAGCTCTTAATATTGGCACCTGATACCCTAAGGGGGAGAGGGAATGATGGTCAAATAATTTTAATGTAAGGTAACTGGTTCTTAACATCTGAGGTAAAAGGTAGAAACTATTTTCCCCCTTGCCCTTTTCTTCCCTCCTACTTTCTCTTAGGAAACCAACCTTAAAGAAATTTAGGCATTAACATTTTATTGGAACCTGGGCCACGGTAGCCAAACTGTTCTATCAGTACCAACAAGAGCCATTTACAAAGTCTGTCTACACACAACCAGACTTGTACATTTTCAAATCCGTTTCTAATAAGAAAAATTCTTCTGGTTATCCATTCATTTTACAAAGTCTGCTGTCAATGCCAGCCTTTTTTCCATCATCAAAAATACTAGCTCTGTACTTCATATCTTAGCCATAAAGATTTCTATATATAGAGAGAGAAATGTTTTAGAAACTAAGAAAGGCAAAATCTAAGGGGAAAGGAATCATGCTGAACATGGAAACTTGTGGAAAGTCAGGCCTGTGGTCGGCCTCTCCTCACTACGACTCTACTCCTCGGACACGTGAAGGGGAAGACTGCGTTTTCCATCCCCTCCCAAGCTTTCATAAACACACTGAATTGGGGGAGACAGTCTACCAGGCTTAGGGTGAAAGGACTTTGACTGAGTTGAGTCCATCAGGAGTTTTTACTTCTTCACTTATTGTTACAATGCCACATTTCCTTTTTGATGCAGACCTTCTTTTTATACTGCGTATCCAAATATGTACTGTGGGCAAGCTGCACGTGTGCTCTGAATACTTTTCACAACCTGCACCAAACACGCCAGGATATTTCCAAACACAGCATCCATGTGCTAGAACCCTGAACAGGTATTATTATAACCCAAGAGACTGTTCCCATTAAAAAAAAATTGGTCTGTTTTTCTCACTTTGAATCTAAATATTCAGAAGCTTCTAAAGTGGTTTTGTTTTTTTGCAATTGTTCACCACCTCAGTAGTTTTCAGGAAAAAGAGACAGAATTTGAGTCCTCATTGTCAAGGGGTGTGTTCACATCCCTAAACTTCCTGGAGCTTGGACTTGTTTCCAATATGACTTTTTCATTCTAAACTGAGTTGCTTAAATGCCTCCCCAAAAAAGCATAATATGAATAAGGCTTGATTTTTTTTTTTACTTGGACCAAAAATTTTCTGATACCACCTCTGTTCACTTCTGTAGCATTGCTCTCAGACGTCCATATACATACTTGTTCAATCCTGAAAATCCAAGTTCTTTAAGGCAGTGATTCTAAACTCTAAGAACAAGCTCTCGTGTCTCATGTCTGACACTGTGTTGGGTATTCATTCTCCTATTTGGCACCCATTGGACACATTTAAAATATACTTGAGGATGCTTAAAGCCAGGTAGCAACTTAAAATGGGCAACATTTGTCAAGACTTGATTCTTATAGCACAGAAATGTTGCTTTTTGCTTATAATGGGGAATTTATAAGAAATGTCAGAACTCTTTCTTACCAAAGTCTTAGGTGATTTGTAGTTTTTCTGGCTAACCAGTAGTTTTGGAAATAGACTTTTTACTACAAAAAAGAGCTTCCACTTGAGATAGTAAACACGTCATAAGGTACCCAGGAAAAACTGCCTGAAGAGTTATGATGGTTGTAGATATTTTTATCCAAGTCAAACAAGCTGTAATCCAATTTGCATTTACATTTTAAAAGGATGACAAAAAGAAGTTCAGAGCTGTATTTCCCAACCAGACATTGGGTCACTTATCTGTCACCTTGCTAATGTGTTATTTGAAGGAAATATGTTGTAGCAAATGAAATAAAACCTGGGATTCTTTAGACCCAGAATTGAAAAACTTTCAAAGGTTTTGTGCTGTTTTTCATTTGAAATTTGTGTATTAAACATGTTTTAGGCATATTCAGAGTCTGTGTACTTCTTCCTGGGAATTGTTTCTGTTGTTAGGTGCCCTCGAGTCAACAACAACTTATAGTGATCTTCTGAACAATAGCTCTGAACCTTGTCCTGTCTTGGATTGGGAAGAGGCAATCTTACTTTCTGACACTCCTGGCCCCACAGCCACAGTCACTGTGTCAATGTCACTTTCTTCCAGGAAGTAAGGGTGTTATATTTTACTCACATGATTTCAGTTCTCCAGAAATTTAGCCCTGGTGAAATGTTGTTGTTGTTATGTGCCATCGAGTCGCTTGCAACTCATAGCAACTCTATGTACAAGAGCCCTAAACCCTGCTCTATCCTGTGCCAACCTTATTGTCTCCAACACGCCTACTCCCACTACCCTAATCACTGAATCAATCCATCTCATCGAGGGTCTTCCTCTCCTGTGCTGTCCCTCCACTCTCCCAAACATAATGTCCCTCTCCAAGGACTGGTCCCTCCTTTCAACATGCCCAAAGTATGTCAGACAAAGCTTCAGAGTCTTTGATACCAAGAAGCATCCTGGCTTCCCCTCTCCGGTACAAACCTGTTTGTTCTCCTAGCAGTCCATGGTATGTTCAACACTCTTCTTCTACACCAAAGCTCAAAGGCATTCCTTTTCTATTATCCCTAGTCACTGTCCAGCTCTCTGATGCATAGCACACAATTGCGAAGACTATGGCCTGGATCAGGCACACCTTAGTCTCCAGCCTGACGTCGTTGCTCTTCAGTACTCTGGAGAGGTCCCTGACAGCTGACTTTCCCAATGCAATTAGTCTCTTGATTTCCTGGCTGCTGGTACCAAGAGTGTTGACTGTGGAGCCAAGCAAACTATCTCAATCTCTTCACCATCCATACTGATGCTGCCAATTGGTGAGAATCTTTGTTTTCTTGATATTGAGCTTCAATCCGTATTCAAGGCTACAGTCCTTGACCTTCTGCAGCAAGCACTTCAGGTCCTCCTCAGTTTCAGCAAGCAGGGTTGTGTCATCTGTATAACACAGGTGAAATACCTAGGGCTAAAATGTCAGTACATGAAAACTCTCAAGATTTTGGATTTTTGTCCTCACAAAGGGCCTTCATAGAGGGAAGGCATGGAGGGGAGGAAAAGGGGCAAGAAAGATGGAGAGGGAGAAGAGGCAAATGGGAGGGGGGGAAGGACCTGTAGAATCAGAAAAGCCATAGAAAAAAACCAGCGACTCGAGGGCACATAACAAAAGCCATGCCTTTATAGATCATCATGTGATGAGTAAAGCCTTGAGCAAAGTGTTCAGCTTTGGATGTTCAGCCTCATGGAGCTGTCTGTGGTTATTATGTGTTATGTGAGATGCTATTGAATCAATTGACTCATAGAACCCTCTGTACAAGAGATTGGGACCTGGCACTATCAGGTGCATCATCAAAAATCTCTGACTTGCTTACAGCGCTCCTTGGACTCCTTGTCGGTCCCTCTCACTGAAGGTCTTCCTCTCTGTTGGAGACCTTCTGCTTTCCACAGCATGTTGTCATTTTCTGAGGCCTGACAACATACCCAAAGCACAGGAGCCCAAGTTTCATCATCCCTGGCTCTGAGGAGCACCTTGGTTGTACTTCCTCCAAGACCGCTGATTGTTCTTCGGCAGTCCGTGGTGTAGTCGGTATTCTCCAACAAAACTACAATTCAAAGGCATCGAATCTTCTTCAGTCCCTTTTACTCACTGTCCAACTTTCACATGCAGCACAAAATGCCTTGGCTTGGGTCAGGCACACTTTAAACTGTGTGTGGTAGTAGAGTTAAATATAAAAGTGTTCTGGGGCTGTACACTACCCTTTTCTCTAACCTCTCTAAAACCACCGCTGTCCAGTCAATTCTGACTCATGGCAACCCCATAGGACAGAGTAGAAATAAATGTCCCATAAGGTTCCAAAGCTGTAAACCTTCACAGAAGCAGATGATCATATATTTCTCCTGCAGAGCAGCTGGTGGGTTTGAACCACTGACATTCTGGTTAAGAGTGAAGCACTCTAACCATTGAGCCATTAGGGCTCCTAAACTCCCCTAAAAAGTTCAACTTATATGCTAAGAAAAATAAATGGACACAGTTGTCAAAAAAGACTATATATTAAAAGAAGAAAAAAAGACTATATATTAATATTTAATCCTTATAAGACAGAACCAAAGAAGAAGCATGGCACCATTTTGTTATTTGACGGTATTAATTTTGACAATAGAAAGTATTACTCTTTAATTCCTCATATTGCCTTTAGTTAGAATGAATTAAACTATTGATCTCTTATGAACGAGTGTGTATCATAAACTATAAATAGCAACTAAGTGCTAATTGGTATGAAGATAGTTCTTCTGGTTGAACTCTGAAATTGGAGAGGAAACTATCAGTACTAAAATGTCAAATTTAAGTAAGTGCACCATGATTGTAAGCCTTTGTCACTGCAAAGGCTTTATGCATGCTGACAAGGTGAGAGGCAGAAGCCGAATAATGATTAAACACAGAGCATGGATTCAGATCAGTGCCAAACCAAGTGGCCAGTTTTTTAACATTTTCTGGCCTGTGCTGTAATGGCTTATTCAATATTGGCTTTTCAATGCAAGGTGCCACTCTCAGCACATGGCAAGGCCTGACAGGGTAAATGTCAGAGGTCTGTGGCCCACCAAGGGTTTTAGATTGTTTGCTAACACTGTAAAAGGTAA